TTAAGTTGGCCCAAAGTGGAACACTCCGTCCATCGAATTTTACGAGAAGAAGCTCCAAGCGAAGCCCATGACTGATTGGCTAGGAATGAGACTTGAAGGAGATGGTATTACTCGATTAGCAGAGTTCCGTAAGAATTAGAATATAGCATCGTAGCATTCAAAGACTTGAAGACGGAGGAGAAAAAAATTGGTGTATCGAATTCCCAACTCCGCTCCCTGTACAGTCGTTGAACCTTATCTAAACACCGCGACACCATCTTCGACAATGGACCCGGCCAAGCTCGCGAAGCTGCAGGCACAAGCTGCGAGCAACAGAATTGGTGTGTTATCATCGTGAATTGAGATGGTATTTTTGACCGATTTGCGCGATTTTGGAATGAAGGCGGAAAGGGTACCGTGCGACGAAAGATCGTGCGGAAAGCAAAGCCATCGACAGCACAAGATGACAAGAAGCTTCAAACATCACTGAAGAAGCTGAATGTACAACCTATTCCTGGTGTTGAGGAGGTGAACATGTTCAAGGAGGATGGAAACGTTTTGCACTTCAGTGCACCAAAAGGTTCGCCCTTTGCGCTGACTCATTCCTCTTCATTGGCTCTCATGACGTTGAGCCTTGGTTGGGGTCAAGAGATCTGGATACTGATTTTTGTTATTTTATTTTATAGTACACGCTGCCGTCAGCGCCAACACTTTCGTTGTCTACGGAGCAGGACACGAGAAAGAGCTCACAGAACTCGTCCCTGGTATCTTGAACCAGCTTGGACCCGACTCATTGGCATCTCTCCGAAAGCTTGCTGAGAGCTACCAGGCTATCCAGCCGAACAGACCAGACGCCGGCAACACCATCACCGGGGGAGCTGACGACGATGACGACGACGACGTGCCAGAACTCGTTGAGACCTTCGAGGTTGACGAGTCAAAAGGCAAGCTCGAGGAGCTTAACTGAGAGCTTGTCCGTCGAGGACTGAGAAGGAGGAACGGTAGCTTTGCGATTTTGTGATGAGGCTTTTGTGTTTTGCTTGTGAAAACCTGATGATCTGTTTACCGCTTCTTTGCATGCGATGTCATTAATGTCGTCCCTCTTTCCTGCATCATATTGCTACCGTTCGCTTTCATTCCTGGGTTTCTTTCACGCCATGCTTGCTTCTTCTAGGCATGTACTGACTGCATCGTAACATAATTCAAAACTATGCCTTCGGCAAGACCCAAACTTGGAGTGATTGTGTGTTTGAAAGCAAACATATAAGGATACTTTTTGTTCGAAACCCCACCATCTTTGCCTTGCTCAACGATGCAGGAAAACTCGAAGAAGGCACCCGCAAGTCAAGGAGTGACTTCTCACGTGACAGACGCGAGTTCCATCTCTGGCCAAACAAGCGCAAATACAGGCACCAAAGTCAACCACCGCTCACAGCCATCACTAATCTGCCTTGTTGTGCTTTCCCAGTACCTTGCTTTCTGACTGCTCTTTTACGAACATCCTAGCCACACGCTCTGCAATCTTTAACCAAACTTGTCTATAATCTACCTGAAATTCGACCCCCTATCTAGTACGGAAGCATTTCAATTTGATCCCTTGGGGTATCTTACCGATCATATTGGCAACCTAGCCTGTTCATTCTAAACCTGTGGGTCGCGCATTTCGTATGCTCTTTGGTCACTGATCTTCGAACTCAATAGGCTGGACAGACTATCTACCCGTGATTTGTGTTCTGCAACATGAATCCATATCCTCAATACCCCGCAGTTCATCCCAGGACACCACCGCACCACGGTTATCCCCAACAGCCTCCAGCAGGTTACGCAGTCCAGAGACCTGTATATCCTTCTCCGAGTGCCTACCGCACACAACCTCCTTCTGTACCGTTACAAAATCCTGTCAGGACAGCGTATCCACCCCTTCCACGCTGGCTGCCACAGTCTGCCCCAGGACCTGTACCAACTGTACAATTACGGCAGCCATACACCCAGCGACCTCAGATCCCTCAGCAGGCTCCTTACCACCCAAACTATGTCCGGCCTCCTCCCCAACCGCTTCAACAGCCCATGCCTCCTCATCAACTCCCTATGAACCGCTTCCCTCCTCCCCAGCCACAACCAATGCCACCTCCTGTACAGAGTTACGGACAGCCACCTTCACCTCAAAGGAGACAGCTTCCGCCTCAAGCGTATAATTTGCCACCGGCGAATGTCCCTGCACGAGCACCGTCGACTTCACCAACGCGAAGACCGTTACCGGTTCCTAGCGGTCCACCTCAAGTTCCTACACAGACCCCTTCGCCGAACCACGCGACGCCTCCGCGTCCTTTCCCTCCCTCAGCTCCCTTTGTTGCTCCAGTCCAACCTGAAAGCACGGCTAGCGCTGCAAATGCGTCGACAGGATGGCAGCTGCATGGGTCTGGTCATACCACAGTAACTTTGCCTGTGTCGCCTGTAAAGGCTGGTAAAAGGCCTCTTCCGCCTAGACCAACACCACCTGATGCACCCGCTGCTGCCAATCCTTCGACAGCGGCGACTATCCCGCCACCTCCCAAGCTCCCCGATTCTATCAGGCTACCGTCAACGATACCAACGTCGAGCTTCCCGAGCAGGTCAGCAGACGTGAAGCGATCAGAAAGTAGCGGAGCCATTTTGGACAAACCGAAAAGACGGCCTCTGCCTACATCGCCCAGTGGAACCCCAGACTTGAGTGCAATTTCTCAATTCGCAGGTATCAAGCTTCCTCAGAGAAGTAACACGCTACCTATATTGGGAAGTAAGGACAAGCCGAAGGAGGTTTCGGCTCCATTCAAGGTACAGCTGAAGGATATTCCAAAACCTCTGAAAGAGGCGCCTCTTGCCAAGGCCGAGAAGATCCCAGAGACCATCCCTGAAGAGTCTGTTGCTAGCGAGTCAGATGCCGAGGATAAAGAAGACATGAAGAGCGAAGAAGCCACTTCCTCTGCAGGCTCGTCTGATGAGAGCTCTTCCCCTCCGGCAACGCCAAGTGTAGTAGCCGGGAGCGTTGATCCTCTTATCACTTCCATCGAGGATCACAGTGCCTTAGGCGATCCGGAGCCTCAGATCGTACGCCCTCCTAGTAGAGTGGCCTTCGTCAAAGAAGTGGCTGAGGTCGCTTCAACGGTCGGACCCAAAGGAAACGCGAACCCTGCTCCCGAGGTTGTCAAAGCTGAAGTCGTGACAGTCCCTTTCATCGCACCTTCGTTGATCGCGAAACTCGACAGAACGTTGCCCTCGCATGACATCGTTCCAGAAGATGATCTAGACGACGAAGAGGACGACGAACCTTCGCCACCGCCACGATATGAAGCTGCGACAAATCACTCTCAGAGACCATTTGGAGGCAGACCGAATACGCAGCCTCAGCAGTCTATGGCATTCCGTCTGGCTGCCATGGCATTCGAAGAGGAACGGATGCATACTTCGAACCCTCGGCCGCCAGCACCGAATCCAGTGAGACAATCACGTCCAGCCAGTACACCATCGAGCAAACATGCCAGTGGACTGGATGATACTCCCCGAGCGTCGCGTCAGATGGATAGGCACGCACCGCCTTCATCTCGAAGTGTGTCGCCTGTCAAGCGTAGTCACCCTTCTCCTGCTCCAACCTCTGCGCCTCTTCCACACCCTGCGAAGCCTGCTCCTCCTGCTCGTCGGGATCCTACGCCAGAGCGTCATACTCACACTCACGCTGCCCCTCCACCGCCAATCCCTCAATTTACTTTCAATGGTATCCCTAGTGCAGACAGCGACGAGGAAGACGATATGCCCAATGAAGGGCCATCTTTCAGCATCACACCCGCGATGCCTGTCATAAACGTGACGACCTCTCAAACACCTTCGTTCAGTATTTCAGGACCCGATGATGGCCCGGAAGATCAGTCAATCTCGGGATCGCCGAAGAAATTCCAAAAGAAGGATCTATCATCGCTGCCTCCTGTGATACGTAAAGGAGGCTTAATTTGTGGTGGTTGTGGGAAGGGTATTGTTGGGAGAATCGTCAGCGCTATCGGCGTGAGATGGCATCCTGAATGTTTCAAGTGAGTCCATCACATATACCGTTTGTGCGACCTTAAGCTTCTACGGCGCAGGTGCTCATTGTGTTCGGAAGCCTTAGAACACGTCAGTTCTTATGAGCACGAAGGGCGTCCGTTCTGTCATCTTGATTATCACGAGGTCCGTTCTGTCGAATGCAGTATTCCTTAGGAAATACTGATCACAACGGATAGCAATTTGCACCACGATGCTTCCACTGTGAAACATCTATCATCGATGAGCGTTTCATCACTCTGGACGATCCAGCACTTGGCAAACGAATGTACCACGAGCAGCATTTCTTCTGCGCCGAGTGTGGTGATCCTTTCCTCGATCCAAAGAAAGATCCCAACGAAGAATCAGATGACGTCGGGTTCACTGTATACAAAGGACATCCTTACTGTGAAGCCTGCCATGTTCGACTGAGGATGCCGAAATGTAAGAAATGTAATAAGAGTATCAGGGAAGGGATGCCGGCTGTCGAAGCTCTGGGCGGCAAGTGGTGTTGGGCATGCTTTGTCTGTGCTGTAAGTGTTCGACGTGTAGGCATAGTCGCGAACCGAAACTAATCGGGTTCACAAACAGGGATGCGACAAGCCGTTTGATAACCCCGCCTTCTTTGAAAGAGCAAAAAAACCATTTTGCGAATCCTGTTTTGGGATAATCATTAAAAGCGAATTGTAGGCGCGACATGTATGGACCGTTAAGTTACTTGGCTACTTGCATACATAGCTCAAGCTTGTTCATATATACTTTATTGTATTCAAGCTGTACGAATTGGCCACGAAATCGTTATATAGATCATGATTCTTGGCCATCACATCGAATCACGGCAATTCTCCTTTCTTTTCATAAAAGAGGAAGACGACCGCATGCAATGAGCAGTCTCCGAGTTGACAGCCGTGCTCAATGCCAGTGGTTGCACTTCGTATGTCTGGATGTGCAGAATAAAGTTTGCAAAATAACTGCCCGGGTGAGACTCGAACTCACAACCTCTCGATTAACAGTCGAACGCGCTAACCAATTGCGCCACCAGGCAGATATTAGGGGTCTCACTTGAATAATATACAACCTGCATGTACATTGGGCCGATACCGACGGTAACTTTAGTTGTCAGTATTATCGGAAACTTGCGAGGTCATCGCGGTGCATATTATTGACTGACGACATTGTGTCACCCTCAAATCGGATTTGACTCGAGACATGGACTACGGATTACAATACTGTGAGTTCGCAATTACCCTATGCAAGTCTTCTGCTATACAGTCGTGGAACTTCTAGTTCAATTGTTCCAGCTTCATTTTTAGCGCCGATGGCCCGACCAATCTAAACAGGGCCAAGGAGCAAACATCACCCCACTGTCACTGCTTGTTCATGTGTTTTCTGTAGGCTTGTATGGACCTCCGGCTTACTTCGACGCCATACTCACGCAGCTCTCTTGAAAGGCGGGCGGTTCCACCGCGCTCACACTGTCATTCTCGATCCTGGATCTCGGTCAGCCTTCTGCAAAAATGAACGCTTCTTAAATTTCACGAAGCTGTTTCGACGCCGAGCCCACCCGCACTGAATGAGTAACTACGAGTTTAAGACGCGGTGTTCCTGACTGGAATCATGGGGAATGGCAATGGTGAGAACTGAAGTGACTGATCATCCCTCATCCAGTCCTTGGCCTCTTCTCAGATTCCACGAAGGTTACGATATACCCATACTTGATCTATTGAGCTCATACATTCGCTTCTCTTGCTAGTGCAGCTGTCTTGATAAGACCCCAGTAGGGTCTAGATGAACTTGAGCTGCGTATTGGAGTGAACTCACAGGATTGCTTCTCAGATTGAGTACTGTAGCCGATCCCAGGAAGCATATATACTGGGTTTGAGGTCTCACAATATGACATCTGTCCTCTCAGAGCTCCAGCTTCACTTAGACTTGTCACTCCTCAACCGAATCGCACTTTTCAACTTATCACGATGTTGGGAGATCTATATCAAGCATTCGGTCCCCGTCTTTTTTACTTTCTCATCGGGGCACCTATCTTCATTTTTGTGTTGTCGAAGATATATCTTCTCAGAAAGCGGGGCATGAGGAACGGTCTCAAAAAGCCTCCAGGACCAAAAGGATGGCCGTTGATTGGAAATTTATTGGATATGCCAACCTCAAATCAGTACCTCACGTACATGGACTGGGGTAAGAAATATGGTGAGCGTCATCATGGGATCTCGTCTGCCTTGCATCACCGCTAACAATAACCATTCTTTCAGGAGACGTAGTAGGAGTGGATATTTGTGGTCGGCCCATACTGATCTTGAACTCGCGACAAGCAATTCATGATCTTCTCATCAAAAGAAGTGCCATATACTCAAACAGGCCTCGAATGGAACTGCTCAATACTTGGTAAGTCACGATAAATTCGACATCACGCGCACAAACACCCACCTCACCGACTTGTAATCTCAGGGGCAGATGGGATTGGACCCTAGTCCTCATGCAAGGCTCTGAGGAAATGCACCGTCAGCGTCGTATGCTGGGTCAATGTCTCAACAAAGGGATGATCCCTCGCTATCATGCTGCTATCCAGCGCGAAGCCCTGGATTTCTGTTTGCGTTTAGCGAAGACTCCAGAGAATTACAAAGAGCTGATTGATCAGTAAGTGCATGTCATCTCTTGATCTACGTCTATAAGAATTACTACTCAACATCGGATTAGCATGTCTGGAGCAAATATAATGATGATCACATATGGACATAAAGGTGTGTTTCTTAAGGCGTTCCGATATACATGACCAGACCAATCTTATTGATGACATTTCGTTAGTGAAAGAAGAAGCGGACGAGAATGTCGAGAGAGTCCATGATGTCTTTTCCGAGTTCATAAAGCTTGGCAACGCTGGGTCTCATATTGTTGATTTCTTCCCCGCTTGTATGTCCCACATCTTACGTGACATTTCATCTGCTAACAACAATAGTATCTGCATTGCCATCTTGGGTATTCGGATTGGATTTCGCGAAAACCATGAAGCGTCTTGCCAGTTTGATGGACTCCTCCCTCATTGACCCATACTTTCAAGGCATTCGTGAGATTGTACGTGAATTTTCGGATGCTGAACGATACCTGAACCTCGAAGCTCACTTCCTACCCTCGGTCTACAGGAATCTGGCGTCGCAAAGAGTCCATCAATGCTCCACACGCTACTTGATGCTTACACACAGGACGATGGGTCGGTTGAGCACGAACGTTCTATTCAAGCGGCGACAGGCGTTGCGTATCTAGGTATGTTATTTTCCAGGAATTTCATGGCTCAGCGGATCGCTCAGTGCCCTGATAGCCGGAGGTGATACGGTGAGCTCAACATGCTCCTTGGCACGCCGCGTCGATACTCATTCTGTTTCAAGACAATGATCACTATATGCACCTTCTTATTGGCTATGATGCTGTACCCGGAAGCTCAACGGAACGCACGAGCCGAAATCGATGCTCTCTTGAAGAACGAAAGGTTACCAACCTTCGAAGTTCGAGGATCGGAAGTCCCTGCCATACGTCGAAGCCACGATGAACGAAGTTTTCAGGTAAGCCTCTCAGTTTCTTACATCGATAGAACATGATGTAAGACCGGACTCTCAGGTGGAAGCCAACTGCTCCTTTGGGTAAGTTATATGAAGTCTGAGCGCTGTGCATGCCATACTGATTCATGACAAATTAGCCGTTGCCCACCAGTCAACCGAAGATGATGTCTACAACGGTATGTTTATCCCTGCAGGAACTACAATATTTCCAAACACTTGGTGCGTTGGTGAACTGGCTGGAACTGAACGCAAAATGTAACTTGAACAGGGCTTGTCTGCAAAACGAGGATGATTTTCCAGAGCCTGATGTCTTCAAACCAGAGAGGTACCTCGATGGCGTCACGCTCAAAGAAGGATCCGTCTTGGCCAAAGAGTTTGCATTTGGTTATGGCCGTCGGTAAGTGAACTAGAAAAAATTGTTGCCATTTGTCGAGATCTCACTGACATATTCTCTCGTCAGAGTGTGTTCGGGTAAACATCTTGCAGATGCAATAGTCTGGATGAATCTCAGTCTTCTGCTCGCCGCCTTCGACATCTCCCTTCCTACTGACAAATTGGGCAACCCAATAATGCCAGACTTGAATTACGAGTACGGCGCTACGACTGTGTACGTTCTCTTCCCTTGTATCTTGATAGACTTAAAGTCTTACACGATCAATCAGACACCCCAAACCATTCCAGTGTAAAATATCGCTTCGTTCTGAGAAACATGGAGAATTGCTTCGAGCAAGTTTGAACGCAAGCGAGGGAGCGGATAGATCGAATTGAGGGAGATACTCTGAGCGCCCGGGAGCTGCAGGTATCAGTGTTTCCGAGGACAGCGAGGGCTTCAGATCTAGTTCCGTAGTAGACTTGGCGAATTTCTTCACTGGCTCGAGAGAATTCAGATCGTCACTATAATATAGCCCACTCCCTTCAGCCAAAGCTGAGCTTCTCCCTTCCTCTCCGAGTGCGCTCATCTCGCACGCATGCGCAAGCACGCTGAGAGCGCTAGCCTTAACCCCGGCAAGCCACTTGTCCCGACCTGGGGTCGGTTGAAAGCGCGGCAGGCTTTTGAATTTATGCCCATTTGCGACCATTACTTTGTCAAATGACCTGGTCGAATCAGCCCACAAATCGACCCCAAAATTTGAGGTCTCTTTCAGCCACCGCACATGTACACCGTGAACTCTCGTCTTGAGCCGAATGTGCGGATATAAATTGAGCGTCGAAGCATACGACTTCGAGTACTGCAGTACGACAAAAGCTCGGGGGATAAGAAGCGTTTCCGCAGGAGACTGATGGCTCTGAACGCCATAAGAGGATGATACTATTGGGTCAACCTCGAATCGGACGCGACCCGACGCCTGGAACTTGAACGTTGAACCACAGTGAGCTTGCGATATTCCTATCATCAACTTCTATCATACGGCACTTAGTCGAACTTCTAGTGTCGATGGGCCGCTCACGGCGGCTAGCATGCCGCCATTGACAATTCAACCCGGGCTCTGGGACCAGACACGGTGACACCGTTCGTGCTGGTGTTTACTACTGAGAAACCTTGTACCTGTACGACTTACTTCAACGCCCATCTCACAGAGCTCACGTGAAGGGTAGGTGCATCCCGCATCGGGGACCCCTTCCAATGTTGAGTATCCAGCGTTGAACCTCTGTCAGCTTCACGAGAAAAGGTCGACCCTTCTTCAGTCCCACGAGGCTGATTCGATGCCGAGCTCGCCCGCACCGTATGATTTTCAGACGTGATGAAATGTCCATGGTGAGAACTCAACATCCGCATCTCGTCCATTCCGGTTACTAAAATTCTTTTCTAGCTTCCGTGTGGGCTCCGATTTACCCGTTCTTCCTTTAGTGAGTTCATATATGTGCCTCTCTTGCCAGATACAGCCGGCCTGATGAGATCCTAGTAGGATCTCTGTGACCTCCATATGGTGGCGCACTCACAGGTGACAGGATTGCTTCTGAGATTGAGAATGTCCCTCAATTCGGGGAGACCTATATATCGGGCTCGATGCCCCACGACTCGTCGTCTTTGGTCCTGCCGGTGTTCCATATCTAGCTGAGCCTGCCTCTATCGAATTGCACTATTCATTCCACGTCAATGCTGTGGGATTTGTATCGAACCTTTGAGTCCGACCCTTTCCTCTTTCTGATTGGGGCAGCTGGTTGCATTTTGCTGTTGTCAAAGATATATTTCTCAACAAAGGGTGGATTAAGAAACAGTCTTAGAAAACCTCCCGGTCCAAAGGGATGGCCTTTGATAGGGAATTTACTGGATATGCCGAAGTCACATCAATACCTTACCTACATGGAATGGCGCAAGAAATATGGTGAGAGAGCAATATTCTGAATGCACACCACGCTCACGACACCAATCGTCGTTCCAGGAGATGTGATAGGAGTGAACGTCTGTGGACAACCTATCGTCATTTTGAACTCGCGACAGGCAGTTCATGACCTTCTTGTCAAGAGAAGCGCGATC